CGCGCCAGCGCTCGTCCCGGCCCGTGCCCCTCGCAGACCAGCTGCCACCCCCGTCGCTGGTGGCGCTGCCCGGGCCGGTGGTGGCGCCCGACGCCAACGTGAGCCTGCGCTGCGCCGGCCGCCTGCGGGGCATGAGCTTCGCGCTCTACCGCGTGGGCGTGGCGGCCCCGCTCCAGTACCGCGACTCGGCCGAGCCCTGGGCCGACTTCCCGCTGCGCGGCGCCAGCGCCCCCGGCACCTACAGCTGTTATTACCACACGCCGTCCTCCCCGTACGTGCTGTCGCTGCGCAGCGAGCCGCTGCTCATCAGCGCCGACGGTGAGGGCGACGCGCCCCGCCCAGCCCCTGCTCCCCAGAAGGGGTCGGACCCGGCGGTCCCTCCCTGCTCCCCAAACCCGGGGTCCGGGCCGCCGCTTCCTCCCTGCTCCCCAGCCCGGGGGTCCGGGCCGGCGGTTCCTCCCGCTCTCCAGCCCGGGGGTCCGGGCCCCCAGCCTCTCCCTGCTCCCCAGCCCGGGGGTCCGGGCCGGCGGTTCCTCCCTGCTCCCCAGCCCAGGGGTCCGGGCTAGCAGTTCCTCCCTGCTCCCCAGCCGGGGGGTCCGGGCCCCCGGTTCCTCCCTGCTCCCCAGCCCGGGGGTCTGGGCCCAGCCTCTCCCTGCTCCCCAGCCCGGGGGTCCGGCCCCCAGCCTCTCCCTGCTCCCCAGCCCGGGGGTCCGGCCCCCAGCCTCTCTCTGCTCCCCAGCCCGGGGGTCCGGGCCGGCGGTTCCTCCCTGCTCCCCAGCCCGGGGGTCCGGGCCCCCAGCCTCTCCCTGCTCCCCAGCCCGGGGTCCGGGCCGCCGCTTCCTCCCTGCTCCCCAGCCCGGGGGTCGGGGCCGGCGGTTCCTCCCTGCTCCCCAGCCTGGGGGTCCGGGCCCCCAGCCTCTCCCTGCTCCCCAGCCCGGGCATCCGGGCCCCCGGTTCCTCCCTGCTCCCCAGCCCGGGGGTCGGGGCCCCAGCCTCTCCCTGCTCCCCAGCCCGGGGGTCCGGGCCGGCGGTTCCTCCCTGCTCCCTAGCCCAGGGGTCCGGGCTGGCGGTTCCTCCCTGCTCCCCAGCCCGGGGGTCGGGCCCCCGGTTCCTCCCTGCTCCCCAGCCCGGGTGTCCGGGCCGGCGGTTCCTCCCTGCTCCCCAGCCTGGGGGTCTGGGCCCAGCCTCTCCCTGCTTCCCAGTCCCAGGGTCCCGGCCCCCGGTTCCTCCCTGCTCCCCAGCCCGGGGGTCCGGGCCAGCGGTTCCTCCCTGCTCCCCAGCCCCGGGGGCCCTCCCTGCTCCCCAGCCTGGGGGTCCGGGCCCCCGGTTCCTCCCTGCTCCCCAGCCCGGGGGTCCGGGCCGGCGGTTCCTCCCTGCTCCCCAGCCTGGGGGTCGGGGCCCCCGGTTCCTCCCTGCTTCCCAGTCCCGGGGTCCTGGCCACCGGTTCCTCCCTGCTCCCCAGACTGGAGATCCAGGTCCCCAGCCTCTCCCTGCTCTCCAGCCCAGAACCCCTGGTTCCTCCCTGCTCCCCAACCGGGGATCCAGGCCCCAGCCTCTCCCTGCTCCCCAACCTGGGGGTCTGGGCCCCCAAGCCCTCCGTGCTCCCCCTCCCAGGGGTCCACTCCCGGTTCCTCCCTGCTCCCCAATCTAGGGATCCGTACCCTACCCCTTCTTACCCAAATCCAGGAGTCCAGGACCCCTGCTCCCATCGACCCACCATAACTTTGAGACTGGGAGCTGTGTCCCCAGTCTCACCCTGGAGGTTAGAGACCCAGAGAACAGGCCCAGACTGTGGGTTCCGGAACTGAAGGCCTCTCTCCCTTGCTGTCCTGCAGGCTCGGGCTCCTTGGACTACATGCAGGGCAACCTCGTCCGCCTGGGGCTGGCCGGCCTGGTGCTCATTTCCCTGGGCACACTGGTTGTTTTTGACTGGCGCAGCCAGAGTTGTGCCCCAGGCAGTGTCAGTCCCTGAGCCCCAGAGGACTGGACACAGATGCCTCGCAGTGTGAGAAGACTTCCCAGAGACAGCGAGAAGAAACAGGGATTCCTGGTGTTGGACTGGTCCCACAGTCCCCCTGGCTGAGCTCAGCTTCTGGGTCATAATAAGCTTCGTACTGTGTGCTCTAGCTCCCTTCTGGGTCATTCCTCTAGTGCATCAATGGAAAGCTGTCTCCGTGGTTAAGGCTTCCTAGTCTCGAGGCCTGGGTTCGAATTCCAGGGCCGCTGCTCACTCACTGCATTATTAGGAAAGAGACCTTTCCCAAGTCTCAATTGCCTTGAATGTAAAATGGGCTGACTGATAATACCCACTTAATAATCTTGTAGGATTAAGTGGGCAATACACATGAAACCCTTAAAAGTGACTGGCCCATAGTAAATGCTCAATAAATGTTAGCTATCCTATAACTGCGGTTTCTACCAGATGCTCAAGGCTGGAATGTAGTCCCCCCCCCACCATTGCGCATGCTCCAGCTGAACTTTTCAGCAATTCACCGCCATTTCCTTCATGCCCCCCAGCCTCTACTTCTCTCTGAACTTCTCTCCCCCTTCGCCTCCCCCCGTCCTTGGTCGACAAGCAAACCTCTTCCAAACCCCTCCTCAGACCTTCTGACCTCGGTAGACCAAGATCAGATCAAGGAGAACTTCTTCCCTGTTTAAAGCTTCATTTGTGTGCAGTGCAGGCTGTTTTCTTGAACCGTCATTATGATTAAGTGGAGTTCGTTGCCAAGGCAACAGCAAGTGCAGTGTGTGCAGTCGAGCACTGACCTGGACATTTATACATGGCACCTGGCCTGCTTCCCACGGGTTCTTGGCTGCCTTCACAGTTGTAAAGCTAATGCAAACCATTCCCCAGTGCAGCCCGTTTGCTCTCCCCTCTTGCCTCTCTTTCTGGAAGGCCTGACTACATTCAGTTTCTCCTGAGTTTAGTAATTTAACTTCTATTTTAATCTTGGTAACCCGGATGCCTTTATCATCCTCATACACACATACACACATTTTTCTGTCTCTAAGCACTTCTTACCACACAACACTTGTGTTCCCTTCTTGCTTATGCCTAATTTTGATGGAGCACACATCCTCTTCTATTGTTACTAAGTTTTCCACCTTCCCCTTCTCCTCTTCCCACTCTATGAAGGAGAGGATGCCTTCCATTTTTTGGACAACCCCAGCTCCATCACCCACCAGGGGGATAGCCTTGAGCAATTTACAGACCCTCCTGAATTTTTATCCCTGAAAGAGGAAACTAAAAATATCTACCACGTTGGTTTGAGATAATCAAACAGGATAACTTGTCCCCAACATGTGGAGAGAGATCATAAAAGCTCAGATCAGTAGTTTTAATCTATCCCACCCCCCCTTTTGGGGAGACATGATTAGGAAGCAAAGCTTACATCACAGCCCTGTACACACATCCATTTACATCTATAAACTAGAATTCAAGTTCTATGAAGCAATATTCACTTCTACTATTTTATTATGATCTATTTTATTAAAAATGCTGATCATGACTCCTTTCATTGATGGAACAACTCCCTAACACCCACAGTGAGACACGATTTGAGGAAGTTGAGCAATATTTGTTGGTGTTCCTTGGTTACAGAAACTGATCTCTGGACTCATATAAAGACTGGGAAATTCAAAATATGGATAAACAGCATAAAACGATGCTATCTCAACACCCAGTTCTCCTAGTAGTTGAGATTTGGGTACTGCAGTTAAGCAGAACTGAAATCAGAAGTCAAGTTAGCCACCTGGGTTCACTGACTTGCTGAAGAGATTGGAGGAGAGACTCCAAGCAGGACTTTCTGGGTTTGTACTTAGTACCAATGTGGGACTCCTGTGGAGCATATCCTGGGCAATCTCCCTGTGAACTGGATGTGGACGTGGGAAATCAAGGGAGAAGCAGGAATCCAGATTCACAGGAGGGAACCAGACCTGGATGGGGCTGCAAAGTCATCAAATCCAGTCTTCTCATTTTACAGATGGGAAAATGGTGGAATGGAGGGGTGGCATGAAGCTCCCCCATAGTCATACGAGAAATCAGTGGCACATCAGGGAGGCTCCCCAGGAATTTGTACTTCAACTCAGCCACATCTATTCGTTCACTTTACTAGTCAACCACTCATCCCACTCATTGTCATCCATCCATTTGTTCACTGATTCTTATCCTTCTTTCTAGCCATCCATCCATCCATCCATCCATCCCCTTTCCTCTTGCTCCTATTTGAATATGTACCCTTCCTTTTGCCCTTACCCCTCATTAATTCATTATTACATCCATTCATCCATATTTCCCTTTATTAATCAGCTAATCAACTTATTAATCTACTCACCTATTTATTGTACTTATTCAGAATCTGTCAACCAACCTTTGCATTTATTTATCCAACAAGCCTGAAGATCTCTTCTTCCTAAATTGGGGAGAGGGGGAGGGGGAGTTGGAAAATTTAATAACGATAGAAGAAGATGTGTGCTCCACCAAAATTAGGCATAAATCAGGAAAGGAACACATGAGTGTTGAGTGGTGAGAAGTGCTCTGAGATGGAAAATGTGTGTATGAAGATGAGAAAGGAATCAATGTTAGCCAGATGAAAAAAAATAATATTATTGATAATGTCAGTAATAGAATATTGTTTTTATTTTTAAAGATTATTTATTTAAAGATTTTATTTGTTTGACAGAGAGGGAGAGGGAGCATGCACAAGCAGGGGGAGCAGCACACAGAGAGGGAGAAGCAGACTCCCTACTGAGCAAGTAGCCTGATGCAGGGCTCGATCCCAGGACCCTGGGATCATGAGCTGAGCTGAAGGCAGATGCTTCACCAACTGAGCCACTCAGGCGCCCCTATTTATTTATTTTAGAGAGGGAGAGCACATGAGACCATGGCAAGGGGCAGAGGAAGAGGGAGGGAGAATCCTCAAGCAGAATCCCCACTGGGCATGGAGAATGACTTGGAGCTTCATCCCAGGACCCTGAGATCATGATCTGAGCAGAAACCAAGAGTCGGCTGCCCAATTTGCTGAGCCACCCAGGTACCCCCGTCACTTCCACTTTTGAATGAGGAAGAGAAAGGGGAATATTATCACATTTAACTATTGCAAAGCAATTTACCGTTCTTGAGGCAGTGGTTCCTTTTTTTTAAATTTAAGATTTATTTATTTTAGAGAGGGGGGAGGGGCAGAGAGAGAGAGGGAGAGAATCTCAAGCAGACTCCCTGCTGAGTGCAGAGACCCCGATGTGGGGCGTGATCCCACGACCCTGAGATCACAACCTGAGCCAAAACCAAGAGTTGGATGCTTAACTGACTACACCACCCAGGTGCCCCAAGGCCATGGTTACTTTTTTTTGTCACCCACAAACGCTCAGCACTTCCAGGGTGTTCATAATGAGACTGTGACAGATCTGCTACCAGCTCTCCTTTCTACTCACTCACGCCTGGTCCACTGTGCTCATCCTTCCGGTTTCAGATTGGATGCTGTTTCCACTGTAAACTGCTGCCTGGCCCATCTGTGTTCCCATAGTGTCTTGTCGTACCTGAACTGAATATTTACACTGTATTTGGATTTTCTCTCTCCCACACTAGACCACAAGCTCCTCCCAAGAGGGACCAGGTTTTTGCATCTCCGTGTGTCTGGGGCCTGGCATAGGTCTGAGGAAACATGCACAGTGTGGCTCAGTGAGCTCAGCACGCTGCAGATGATCTAAGTGAGCTCCATACTTTTGCCCTTGTGCAGTGGGCAGAATGATGCCCCCCTCCCCGCCACGTGTGATGTCCCGATTCCTGGAACCTGTGAAAATGTTGTACGTGGCCAAAGGGACTTCCCAGGTGTGATTAAATTTAGCATCATGAGGTGGGGGGGTTATCCTGGATTATTCAGTTGGGTTCCATGAAGTCTCAAGGATCCTCATGTATAAGAGGAAAGAGGTCGGAGTCAGAGAAGGGAATGTAGACATGGAAGCAGAGGTCAGTGTGAGGCAGGGTCACGAGCCAAGGAACACAGGCTCACCTAAAGCTGGAGAAGTCGAGGAATTGGATTCTCCCCTAGAGCCTCCAGAAGGAATGCAGCCTCTCAACCCACGTCGAACTTTTGACCTCCAGAAGAGAAAGATAAAAAATTTATGGTTAGGCCACTAGTTTGAGACAATTTGTCACAATGGCGATAGCAAAACTAATACTGTTAGCTTCAACAGAACCTCTTTCCTCTTCCCACAAACCCAGGCATGTAACCGTTAGGATTTCCACTTCTGTCCCCAACCCTGCTTGCCCCAAGTTCCCGTTTATCTACTTGGCACACATTTATTCAATGCCCACCACATGTGGGGCACTGTGCTGGGTGCTGGGGACAAGCAGGGAACGCCAGCAGGCATAAACCCTGCTCTCATGAAGCTCACGGAAAAAAGCATTAACCAAACTGCCACACAGCGTATTGATTAGGGAGCACTTTAAGCTGCTGTAACAAACAGATCCCCTCTAAGGAAAAAAAACTATATAATTTTATTTCTCGGGGCGCCTGGGTGGCTCAGTTAGTTAAGCATCTGCCTTTGGCTCAGGTCATGATCGCAGGGTCCTGGGATCAAGTCCCACATGGGGTTCCCCCTGCTCTGTGAGGGGCCTGCTTCTCCCTCTCCCACTCCCCCTGCTTGTGTTCCCTCTCTCGCTGTCTCTCTCTGTCAAATAAATAAATAAATCTTTTAAAAAATGTTATTTCTCTCTCACTTAACAGTATATAGTTGAAACAGTCCAGGGCCATTTATCAAGAGCTTTGCTTTTGTCAACATATGGCTTTCCTGTGTGGTTCTGAGTCAGCACGAAAGGAGGAAGAGTGAGAGAGAGAAAAAGAAAGAGATCACACAATCATTTTTAAAGAGTAGGACCCAGGATTTGAAAATGTCTCTTCTGCTCTCATCCCATTGGCCAGAACTCCATTCCATCGCCAGGTCTAGCTGCAAAAGGGGCTGGGCTCTAGCGTGTGCCCTTCTAAAAATGAGGGAGGGGGGGTTCTATTACTTAAAGGAAGAAGGGAAACTTGGATGCTAGGAAACCATGAACCATCTCCATCAGTACAACTATAGTAAAAAAAAAAAAAGAGAGAATTTTGAAAGCCTATAATCGAGGATTTGATCTAGTCTTGGAGATCTCTGATGGCTTTGCTTAAGTGCAGAGGTGAGATCTGAAAGTTGAGCAGACTTTTAACTAGGTGAAGGTGCTGGAAGGGTGTTCTAAGCAAAGGGATAGCATGTGCAAAGGCCCCGCGGTGGAGGAAGCCGGGAGACAGTGGTTGAGAGACGGGCTAAATTGTGTGCTACTGCCACCTAGTGGTCACACCTTTTCCCTTGAAGTCCCTGAACTCCCTTAGAGGTGCATCATAGGACTGTAGCCACGCTCCTCTATTCCGGCTGGACACTGAGCTGTGAATGGCAGTGACCAGTGCCACTTCCAAGCTGGAGCATTTACCTGTAAGAACTCCCTCCTCACCTAGACACAGTGCTCCACTGGTCCGGGCGCCTGAGGGACAAGGATGAACCGGGCCCCCTGCCAGTAGTTTCTACTGTAGTCCCCCTGCCCCACCTGGCTCCAGGCACTCCTACTAGGCGCCCATCGATATGACCATCTTTTTGTCCACCTGTCTCGGTCCACTAGGGCTTTTTAAAAATGCCATACACTGGGGGGCTTGAACAACAGAAACTTGCTTCTCAAAATTCTGGAGGCTGGGATGTCCGAGATCAGAGGGCCAGCATGGTTCTTGTGAAAGCCCTCTCCCTGGCTTGCAGGTGGCCTCTTGTATCCTCACAAGGCAGGGGGAGAGAGAGAGAGGGACGGTGGAGAGGGAGGGAGAGAAAGAGACCTAAGGTTTCTCTCATGTCTCTTCTTATAAGGGCACTAATCCCAACCACGTGGTCACCACCCTCATAATATCACCTAAACCTAACCACCTCCCAAAGGTCCCACCTCCTAATACCAGCACATTGGGGGTTAGGGGCTTCAGCATAAGAATTTTGGGGAGACACAGACATTCAGCCAATAACAGCATCCTTCTGGAGATCTTATATCCACTGCTTATTTTTAAAGAATTATGAAAAGTTCACTCCAAGGTAAGGGGGTGGGGAGGCTCTGCTATGGCATCCTGGAAACCCTTCACATGTCCACATGGACACTTGAACTGCAGCTAATCTGACTCTGGGCACAATGCCTTATGATCCTCCTGGAACATAAGAAGATGAGAGGCTTGTGAGGAGCTTTGTGAGGCCATCTCCCACTCACCTTATTCCCATCCCCTGCCCCGGAAGACTTTCGCCAGACAGCTTCTCATTGCTTCTCAGGTTCCGATGAGGTGTGGCACTTTCTGCCCTGTTCCCCTCAGACTGGAGCTGCAGAATATAAAAATGCTTAGCTGCGGTCTAGATTTGGCTCTTGCGGTTCTGTAGAAAGACATGTGGCCTTTGTTTCTGGTTCCTGGCACAGAGCTCCTAAAACCCTTATTTCCTTAGTGACAAGGGTGATAGGAGC